CAGTTTTTGGCCGTGTCCGGGTTTGAACCCGCCACCTCTGGTATATGGGACTGGTGCCCTACTCCTTTGAGGCACAGGTGCCGCCCCATCTTCTTTCTTAGTAACCCAGATGTTTTAAACCCCCCTAAAGGAAGGACCCTGGCTTCCCCCGTCTCTGCTCCATCCAGCTACGTAGGCGCCATGGAAGTGGCAGAGCCCAGCAGTCCTACTGAGGAGGAGGACGAGGAGGAAGAGGAGCAGTCCTCAGAGCCTCGGCCCCGCACACGCTCCAACCCTGAGGGTGCTGAGGATCGGGCACTGGGGGCCCAGGTCAGCGTGGGCAGCCGCAGTGAGGGTGAAGGTGAAGCAGCCAGTGCGGATGATGGCACGCCCAATGGTCCAGGAACTGGTTCCAAGCCCTGGCAGGTGCCTCCACCAACACCTGAGGTCCAGGTTCGGACACCCAGGGTCAACTGTCCAGAGAAGGTGGTAAGTAGGGGCTTTGAGGTGTTAGGGAACCTTGAGTTAAACACTTTTGGCTTTGTTGGTTCACTCTGCATACATTCCCTTTGTATTTCCTATGGCTGCCACAAGTTACCATAGACTTGGTGGATTATGACAACAAAAATTTATTGTCACAGGTATCACCTGCTGATACCTTGATTGAAATCAAAGTATCAGCAGGGCTGTCCTCCATTTGGAGGATCTAGGGAAGGATCCTTCCTTGCTTCTTTTCAGCATCTGGTGGCTCTGCACATTCCTTGGCTTATGGCTGCATCACTTCAACCTCTGCCATCATCCTCATATGGCCTTCATCTCTGTGTCTTTTTCTCTTCTGTCTCTAAAGATTCTTGTTATGGAATCAGGATGATCTTTCTTTTTTTTCTTTTTGAGACAGAGCCTTAAGCTGTCGCCCTGGGTAGGGTGCCGTGGTATCACAGCTCACAGCAACCTCTAACTCCTGGACTTAAGCAATTCTCTTGCCTCAGCCTCCCAAGTAGCTGGGACTACAGGCACCCGCCACAACACCTGGCTATTTTTTGGTTGTAGTTGTCATTGTTTGGCAGGCCCGGGCTGGAACGCCCAGTTCTGGTATATGTGGCTGGTGCCTTAGCCACTTGAGCTACAGGCACCGAGCCAGAATCAGGATGATCTTATCTCAAGACCTTTATTTTAGGCCAGGTACAGTGACTTGTACCTGTAATCCTAGCACTCTGGAAGGCCAAGGCTGGAGGAAAGCGTGAGCTGAGGAGTTCAAGATCAGCCTGAGTAAGAGCAAGACTCCATCTCTACTAAAGTAGCAAAATTAGCCAGGTGTCATGATGTGCACCTGTAATCCCAACTACTTGTGAGGTTGAGGCAGGAGGTTCACTTGAGCCCAGGAGTTGAAGTTGTAGTGAGTTAAGATGATGCCAGGGCAACACAGAGAATCTGTCTCAAAAATAAATGAATAAATAAATATGTAAAACCCTTTACCTTAATTATATCTGTAAGGGCCCTGGATCCGAATAAGGCCACATTCTGAGGTTCTGGGTGGATATATCTTTTGAGCCACAGTTCAACCCACTATGTCCTCATATGTGTTTCTTTTTTTTGAGACATTTTCTCAAGCTGTCACCCTGGGTAGAGTGCTGTGGTGTCACAGCTCACAGCAACCCCAAACTCTTGGGCTTAAGCAATTCTCTTGCCTCAGCCTCCCAAGTACTTGGACTACAGGTTCCTGCCACAATACCTGGCTATTTTTTCTTTTTCTTTTTTTTTTTTTGAGACAGAGTCCTATTATGTTGCCCTTGGTAGAGTGCTGTGGTATCACAGCTCACAGCAACCTCAAACTCTTGGGCTTAAGTGATTTTCTTGCTTCAGACTCCCAAGTAGCTGGGACTACAGATGCCCACCACAATGCCCAGCTATTTTTGTTGCAGTTGTCATTCTTGTTTTAGCTGGCCTGGGCCAGGTTCAAACCCGCCAGCCTTGGTGTATGTGGCCAGCACCCTACCCTCTGAGCTATGTATGCTGCTCTCATTTCTGTGTTTATTTGTCAAACGTTTCCTAATTTTTTTGTTTTCTTACTGACCTGGACTCCAAGTCCAGTATTCTTTCCCTTGATCCACTGCCTTCCAAGGTTGATGCGTTGGCTGAGAATTAAAGGTCACCATACTGCCTTTTCAGGGCTGTTTTCAAAAGGGCAAGTGAGGCTTGGCACCTGTAGCTCAGCAGCTAGGGCACCGGCCACATACACTGAGGCTGGCGGGTTCAAACCCTGTCCAGACCTGCCAAACAACAATGACGACAACAACAAAAAAAGCTGGGCATTGTGGCGGGCCCCTGTAGTCCCTGCTACTTGGGAGGCTGAGGCAAGAGAATCACTTAAGCCCAAGAGTTTGAGATTGGTGTGAGCTACGACGCCACAACACTCGACCAAGGGTAACATAGTGAGACTCTCTCAAAAAAAAAAAAAAAAAAGAAAAAAGGCCAATGAATGGTGAGTGGCTGACATTAAAGTTAAAGCATCCATCTTCTACTTCCTTGCAGATCATCTGCCTGGACCTGTCAGAGGAAATGTCATTACCAAAGCTTGAGTCATTCAATGGGTAAGAAGGACATTTGGGGGGCATTTTGGGTAAGGCCAGCCCCAAATATGGGGCCTTCACTCTAAGACTCACACCAGCTTGGTATGGCAGTATCAGGGAGTAGGACCAACTGGTAATGATATTGCTATGACCCATCACAACTCTGTTCACCACAGTGGCTTGGAGACTGTGAGAAGCAAAATGACTCACGCATGGCCTTATAGCAGTCAAGCAGAGGCAGCTCAGACCCACACCTGGAAGATCCTGAAACCCTTGCCTAGAACCATGTGCTCCCTCCCAAGAGAGGCTTTTGCTCTCTGGGTCTCTGTAGGGTCAAGCAGCAGGGCCTGGATGGGGCTTGAAGGGCTCTTGAGAGATGCTAAGAAGGAGGCCTCTTTCCCCTCACTGGTACCCATGACTGCACATGGATGAGGGAAGTTACAACAGGATCTCCAGAAGGACACATTTGGAAAGGGCAAGAGCTCAGAGGTTTGTGGCTAGGCTCTGCCACCCTGCTGATGTGTGACCAGAGCCTCCAGAACCTTATTTGAAGGCTGGTAGAGCTCCTCAGGGATGGATGAGTGAGGGGACCTTAACTCCCCTTCTCTGCCTCCCCAGCTCTAAAACCAATGCTCTCAACGTCTCCCAGAAGATGATCGAGATGTTCGTGCGGACAAAACATAAGATTGACAAGAGCCATGAGTTTGCTCTGGTAGTGGTGAACGATGACACGGCCTGGGTGAGTCTGAGGCAGGTGTTGCCTGCAGCGGAGTCCCCTGGGGACTGTGGAACCCTGCTGAGGCCTGTGCTTCTTTACAGCTCTCTGGCCTGACTTCTGACCCCCGTGAGCTCTGCAGCTGCCTCTATGATCTGGAAACGGCCTCTTGTTCTACCTTTAGTATCCTTCCTGGCAGGGGCACCCTGTGGTTTGGGGCTGGCCTGGAAAACCTGAGCCATGGAGAGGGTCAGCTCAAGTTTATGGCATGTCTGAGCTCCACCGTAATGGACAAGTCATCTCCCTGATCCTTAGTTTCTCCTTCTATCCCATGGGAAGCATAAAACTGCTTTGCCTACCCCACAGAGTGTTATGAAAACAAAGTAATAATTAATACAGAAGCAGCGGCAGCTGAATTGGACTCAGGATGAGTAAAATGCACCCACATGGGGAGCACATGACAGGGCCAGGTATATGCTGTGCTGGCCCTGTGCTCAGTGCTCAATAGATGGTAATGTGTGACTGAAATCACAATTGCTGCTGCAGCCCTTTGAACTTGGGCACACCCTGTTTTGTGCTAATTTGACTATTAAAGGCTCATGTGTAGCCCTAAACTTAAATAGAATGTGATTCCTGTGAGTTAAAAAAAAAAAAAAAAAGGCAAACTCTAGTGAATATTAGGGAGGGAGAGACAGGAACATTGTGGTCCTTTCATTGTGAATAGAGTGGCCCCAGTTCTGAAGGAAAGGGGAACTTTGAATTATTGTCCACTGCCAAGCTTGTTTTGTGATCTATGCTGAAAGAAAACAGATTCAGAGAGGGCCAGCAACTTGGCCAGGGTCACGCTGTGCTTGCTGAGGTATCTGGGTCCTGCTGCCTGTCCCTGCCCCACCTGTGCTGTGCCACTGCCATCTCCTTAGCATCACCAACAGATCTGGAAGGTCTCTTCAGCCTCATGTAAGTCCCCGGTGGGGAAATTCTTGTTCACCTTTTAAGGGAAGGATCACTTTTGGAGAAGAGTTATGTGCTGCTCAGAAATAATCCAGGGAGCCCTGGCCAAGCACAATGGCTCCTGGCTCTTATCCTGGCACATTGAAAGGCTAAGGCAGGAGGACTGCTTGAATCCAGGAGCTTGAGGTTGCAGTAAGCTATGATGATCATGCCAATGTATTCTAGGCTGGGCGACAGAGCAGAGACCCTGTCTCAAACAGAAACAATCTAGGGAGCTCTAAAGCTTCCTTGCTACTACCCTGTTCCTGAAACAATTGCTTATTTGTCTGTCTGGGAGCATTTTCTGCAAAAGACGTACTTCCCAGAATCTCTCCCCAACATTATTCCTGTGACTATCCCATGGACCTTTAGTCTCATTATTTTAACCCAGGGGTTAGTGAACAGTTTCTGTAAAGGGCCAGATAGTAAATATTTTTGGTTGTTTGAGCTACAGGGTCTCTTGCGGTGATTGAACTCAACTGTTGAATGGGCATGGCTATGTGCCTGTATTGGCACAAAACTGTATTGTTTTGTTTATGGGCACTGAAATTTGTATTTTTTATTATTTCCATGTGTCATGAAATATGATTCTTCTTTTAGTGTTTTGTGACTAGTTCAAAATGTAAAAACTGGCTTGGTGCCCATAGCTCAGTGGTTAGGGCACTGGCCACGTACACTGAGGCTGGTGGGTTCAACCTCAGCCCTGGCCTGCCAAACAACAATGACAACTATAGCAAAAAAATAGCCAGGCGTTGTGGCGAGTGCCTGTAGTCCCAGCTACTTGGGAGGCTGAGGCAAGAGAATTGCTTAAGCCAGTGGTTCTTAACCTTTCTAATGCCACGGCCCTTTAATATAGTTCTTGTGGGTTATGACCCACAGATTGAGAACCACTGGCTTAAGCTCAAAGAGTTTGAGGTTGCTGTGAGCTGTGATGCCACAGCACTCTACTGAGGATGACATAGTGAGACTCTATTTCAAAAAAAAAAAAAGAAAAGGAAAGAAAAGTAAAAACTGTACTTTCCCAGTTAATTGACCCTGTTTATTTCTCCTGGTACCAGGACTGATAATGCTACAGAAAGTTCTGCGCATATAGGGGGAAGAGGCCACATGTTCACTTTACTTTGAGCTCTTTTATTCATTTTCAATCCATTTGACATTGTTTCAGGGATTTTTCTATTTGGGGTCTTTGGCTGTTTTTTGTTTTTTAATGTTTATAGCAGCTTTATTCATTTGTTTTTTTTTTTGCTTTTTAAAAAATTTTTATTAAATCATAGCTGTGTACATTAATACAGTCATGGGGTATAGTGTGCTGGTTTTATATACAATTTGAAATATTTTCATCAAACTGGTTAACATAGCCTTCATGGCATTTTCTTAGTTACTGTGTTAAGACATTTATGTTCTACGTTTAAAAAGATTCACATGTACCCTTGTAAGATGAACCATAGGTGTGGTCCCACCAATCACTCTCCATCCTTTGGCTGTTTTTATGGGATTGTTTTTTTTTTTTCCTTTTTTTGAGACAAGTCTTATTGCAACCTGAAACTCTTGGGCTTAAGTGATCCTCCTTCCTCAGCTTCTCTAGTAGCTGAGACTATAAGTGCTTGCCACAGTGCCCAGCTAATTTTTCTATTTTTTGTAGAGATAGGTTTGCACTCTTTCTCACACTGGTTTCAAGCTTCTAGCTGCAAGCAATTCTCTTGTCTCAGCCTCCCAGAGTGCTGGGACTACAGGTGTGAGCCACTGTAGCTGGCCAGGATATAGGCTTCTTTCTTGTTAATCAGATTTGATTTTTACTTACTAAAGGACTGCCTAGTGCCCTTTGCCCATGAGATCAGCTGTGGCTGATCAAGGAAATGTGTACTAACTTAGTACATAAGATTTGTTTTTTTTTTTTTTTTTTGTAGAGACAGAGTCTCACTTTTTCGCCCTCGGTAGAGTGCAGTGGAGTCACTCCAGCAACCTCTAACTCCTGGGCTTAGGCGATTCTTCTGCCTCAGCCTCCCAAGTAGCTGGGACTACAGGCCCCTGCCACAATGCCCGGCTATTTTTTGTTGCAGTTTGGCCAGGGCTGGGTTTGAACCCACCACCCTCGGTATATGGGGCCGGCGCCCTACTCACTGAGCCACAGGTGCCTCCCAGTACATAAGATTTGGAGCTCCCTGTCAGGTGGGGAGGGATGTGCTACTTGGCAGGTCCAACTCAGGTCATGGATGGTAGTCAGAGCAGGCTCCAACCCCAGGGTCAGTGAAGCATCCTTGTTGGTGCAGAAGGAGCTGGTCAAAGGGGCGAGGCTAGTGAGGTACTCAGGGTAGAGCAAATAGCATATGAGAAGGCTCAGAGGCAGCAGTGAATTCTGGAGGTGTTGGGTGGAGCCCACATATCAAGTGACAAGGTAGGCTTTTTCCAAGGATGACAAAAGGGTGTGAGACCCCAAGAGCATGCTCTGACCTATCACCTCTCCCGGCTATGCAGCCAGCAGAAGACAGAGCTGCCTGTTACAGAGAATGTACAGACAATTCCACCTCCATATGTGGTCCGCACCATCCTTGTCTACAGCCGTCCACCATGTCAGCCCCAGTTCTCCTTGACAGAGCCCATGAAGGTGAGTGAGGTTTGGGCAAGGGAGGGATGCCTGCAGCCATCAGGATGGTGGTTAGCTACTAGGAAGGACTTAGCAACGACAAGGGCAGGGGTTTCTAGAGGCAGATTCTTAGGCTGTTAAGGCAGAACCTTGGGAACTGTGGGGCTTGGGGTTACTCAAGCCCCAAAGGTTAATGTTCTTTTCTTTCTCTGTAGAAAATGTTCCAGTGCCCATATTTTTTCTTTGATGTTGTTTACATCCACAATGATGCTGATGAAAAGGAGGAGGAGATGAGTTGGAAGGTAAGAGGCTGTAGCAGGTGGTTGTGGGTGGGATATCCGTCTCAGAACCAGTCTGTCCTGGGCTTTTGGATCTCTTCCTCCATTTGGAATCCCTGGCTCAGCTGGGTCAGGGTCAAATTCATGCATTCAACAACCATTTCCCACATGTCTGCTGTGAGCTAGTGACTTAAGAGGTGGGAGCCATTTGAGCAATGGCCCAGGGAGCATGTTGGCTCCTGCCTGCCTCATCTTCAACATCCTCTGCTTCTCTTTCTTCCTGCCTTTGCCCTTGTTGTACCCTCTGCTTGAAGTACCCTTCCCTGCCTCCACAAGCTCTACTGGTCTTTCACATCCTAGTCCCAGACTTACTGTGAGGCCTGGATTGGCCACTTCTCTGAGCCTAAGTTTACCCAAGTGTGAACAGGGGAAATTGAGACCAGCTTCTACTCATACTTCAGTGCCCAAATCAAACATCTCTCCTATGAGAAGCTTTCTCTCCTTCTCAGAAAAGATCAGCCATGTGGCAGGGGATGTGTTTGCATTCAACTGTGTCTCTCTATGTTGGAAGCTCTTAGAGGCCAGGACTGAGATCTTTTGTGGGTCCCTGATGCTGAATGGGTGGCAGGGAATATGTGCTGAATGTGTGAATGTTTTCTGCTTGGCAAACTCTTCTTCACATTTTAGGACCCATTCCAGATATTCACTTCCTTTTAGAAGCCCTTGAGGGTTAGGGAGGGCCTATTGAGGATACCCTCCAGCCCGAACAGCTCTTACCGGTCCCCCAGGACATGTTTGCCTTCATGGGAAGCCTGGATACCAAGGGTACCAGCTACAAGTATGAGGTTGCCCTGGCTGGGCCAGCACTGGAGTTGCACAACTGCATGGCGAAACTGTTGGCTCACCCACTGCAGCGGCCCTGCCAGAGCCATGCCTCCTATAGCCTGCTGGAGGAGGAGGATGAAACCACTGAGGTCGAGGCCACTGTCTGAACCATTAGAGTTCATCTTAACCTCTTTGTATAGTGAAACCCTTGGCCCAGAGTGCTGGTTCTCAGACTGGGCTCTGTGGGACCCCTGGGAGGAAACCCAGGATTCCAGGAGGTGCCCCAGGAATTCTAGGCAGCCACCCCTCCACCCCATGTTTCCCAACCCACACCCACTCCTGGTTTGTGAGTTGTAATTTTTGTTCTTTCTTGTGTGTTTTTTGTCGTCAAAATAAACTGAGTATTGCTAACCCACGTCCACAACAATCACTTTGTGTTATTGAAATCATTTTGGTTCCAAGTGGCAGCCACTGCTGCCAAAGGTGACTATCTTTTCTTGTGGATGAAAACCTAAGGCTGCATCTTCATGCTTGGCAGGATCCAGGTGCTAGGACATTATTTTCAGTGAGAAGGGCTGTAATATCCTGCATGGTTGATGATTAGTGTGCCCTGCTTTCTCTCTACCCCATGGAAAGGGTTGATATAGCTCTGACAATTCCCCAAGCTCCAATCCAGGTGAAGCGAAGGCTCTCTCATTGCCTTTATGTGATTGGACCTGTCTCAGTCATGTGACCTCTTGAGCCAATCACAGGCCAGTGATTCCCCCCTTGGCCAGGCCTGGGTCAAGTCTCCCTGTCGCGGAAGACTAACAGCTCCATCAGGAAATACAAGAGGGCCCCAATTCAACCATCTTATTGGATAATGAGCAATGGTGCAAAAAAGCTTACTAGCTAGACTTTTCTCAGTTTCATATAAAACAAAAATAGCTTTATTGAGCAACTCCTTTTCCTCCCTATGAGCATATATTCTGGGAGCATATTCACCCTACTGGGTGTCGGCCCTGTGCTGAAACACCTTTTCAATCTTCACACATGGCTCGGCGCCTGTGGCTCAAGCGGATAAGGCGCCAGCCACATACACCTAAGGTGGCGGGTTCGAATCCCCAGCCCGGGCCCGCCAAACAACAATGATGGCTGCAACCAAAAAAATGGCCAGGCGTTGTGGTGGGCGCCTGTAGTCCCAGCTACTTGGGAGGCTGAGGCAGGAGACTCGCTTGAGCCCAGGAGCTGGAGGTTGCTGTGAGCTGTAATGCCATGGCACTCTACCCAGGGGGATAGCTTGAGGCTCCGTCTCAAAAAAAAAAAAAAAAAAAATCTTCACACATGCCTCCTTAGGAGCCTGCCATTTTGCAGATGGGGAAACATTTTTTTTTTGGTAGAGACAGAGTCTCACTTTGTCACCCTCGGTAGAGTGCCGTGGCGTCACACAGCTAACTGGGACCTTCAACTCCTGGGCTTAAGTGATTCTCTTGCCTCAGCTTCCAGAGTAGCTGGGACTACAGGCGCCCGCCACAACGCCCGGCTTTTTAGTTGCAGTTCGGCCGGGGCCAGGTTTGAACCCTCCACCCTCGTTATATGGGGCCGTCGCCCTACTCACTGAGCCATAGGCACCGCCCCGCAGATGGGGAAACTTAAAAGTAATGGACTCCCAATTCTACTGGACAGAACATGAGCAATGCAGAACAGGGGCCTCACATGGTAACAGGGCTATGTGCTCTACTGGATCCCTCGGCAGAGGATTCTGGGGACTTAATGCCTTGTGGACACTCCCAGGTCCCCTAATCATAGTTTCACCACCTCCATCTGTGCGCGTTCCCGTTTCCTCAGTTTTGAGACGAGATAATGGCACACCCAGAGGCCTTTCCTGGCCCTGGCACTTATCAGGTGTCCCAGGCCTTGCCTGAAAACTCAGCGTTGGCCAGACCGGGCACTGAAACTCCCGAACCGCTATGTGGGAGCCGACGCACCGCCGAGTCATTCTGGCTGGGGATCCTGCACTGCACACTGTAGCGGCTTCCCTTGCAGAGGGGCGGGGCGGCGCGTGCGCAAGAAGTCGCCGCGGGAAGTTGGAAATTGCCTGGCTGGGACTTAGAAGCCTTTGGCTCTGTCTGCACATGGGCGCGGCGGCGGGTCTGGCGCGACGGCTGCGGGCTGCGTTGCGGGAGGAGGAGCCGCGGTGAGGGCGGGGCCCGTGGGCCAGGGGGCGGGGCGGTGGTCGGCGTCCACTCTGACCTTCGGTTCTCAGGGCGGTGGAGGACTTGGCTGCGCCGCGGTGCGGACCCCAACATGGTGCTCGTCGACGGCGCGGCGGCCATACACTTGGCTGCCAGAGCCCGGTACCCTCGCGGCCTCTGCTGCCTCCGGGCCCTGCTGCGAGGAGGCGGGGACCCCAACGCTCGGTGAGGCGGGTCCTGGGCCCGGGACTGGGGTCTCCCGGAGCCTATTTCTGGTAGTCCGGGAGCGGGCAACAATGGTCCGGTGGCGGGGCTTCGGCCTGAGGCAGGGACTTGGAGAGGGAGCCTGGAGGTACAGGGCAGGGTCTAGGGCTGTAGGGTGGCGCTAGGGTTTCAAGTCGAGGGCGCGGGATGGGGTAGAGCCCGCTCCAAAGTGGGGATTAAGGATTCGGATCTTGAAGTGGGTGTGGAATTTCTGGGGTCAGACACCAGAGGTTTGGGTCCCAGCCCGAGGGCATAGGATCTAGGTTCCCAGGGCAGTTTTCAGGCTTGAGGGCGGATATGGGGGGAGGAGCCGAGGTCGAGGCTCCGCGTTGGCGAGCGGCAATCGGGGTTCCTGGTCCGAAGCAGACTCTTTAGTGACTCCTCCTACACTTCAGATCTGCAGAGGCGCTGACTCCGCTGCATGTGGCAGCTGCCTGGGGCTGTCTCCGTAGTCTGGAACTGTTACTCAGCCTAGGAGCGGACCCGGCGCTGCGCGATCAGGTAGGGGGCCCTGCACTGCGAAGACCTGGCGAACACAGAGGGAAGGAGGGAAGGAGGCATAGAGCGCGAGGACCTCACGCGCCCCCTGCCGACTGCGGTTCTGCAGGACGGACTCCGGCCTCTGGACCTGGCGGTGCAGCAGGGGCACATGGACTGCGCTCGTGTCCTTCGGCAAATAGACACGCGGACCAGGTTCAGGACCTGGACAGAGGCAGAGACCCAAGAGCCTGAACCAGAGTCTGGCAGTGAGTAGGAGCTGCGTGGCTGTGGGGGCTTGACTTCTGAACCAGTCTCTGACATCCACTGGTCTCTTGGTGTTGTCTCTGGGTGTTGCTCCTGTTCCCAGTTGTTTCCCAGGGTCTTTGGCACCCATTGTCTCCCGCCAGTTCTGACTGTCTCACAGCCACAGTTTGTGGCTGCCTGTCTGTGCCTCTGACACTCCCTTCTAGCAATTCCAATCTTCTCTTTCTGTCTGATCCGATTCCTGTCTCTGTGCTCTCTTTTTACATCCCCTCTGACCACTTCATTCATTTCCATGCCTAGGACACTCCCGACCTCCTGATGTGACATTGGACACAGCACTCCAGACCCAACTGGGCAGAGATGATGGCAGTGACATGGGCCTGGAGGCTGGTTTGGGATCCCCCAACCTCCCTGCTGCTCTTGAGACTACACACAAGGATAGGAGCTCAGTTTCCCCACTAGGAAGCCAGGACTGCAGCTCAGATGCCTCCTTCATCACTGCTGTTGAAGTCTCTGGAGGCGAGGACCTAGCCGTGGATACGTCCCTCTGGACTGGGTCAGTGCCCCAGAACAGGCAGAGACTCCTGACTGGTGTTAGTCCCACCCAGGGGGCACCAAAATCTCCAGGTGCCCTGCAGCTGGCACATGGAGCCATAACTGCATGCAAGGAGGAAGAACTGAATGCCCATCTGCAGGCCTTGACTCTGATGTCATCAGATTCTGCCAGCTTCCCGTCCTCTTCCGCGTCCCTTCTTGATGGAAGCCTAGCTCATAGTCCCCAGCGGACACCGCCCCCTAGATCCTGTGACCTCCATGTCCAGACAGATGACCAGGCATCTCTTGATAGTGATGTGGCCACCCTCTGGCTGACAGAGGATGAGGCAAGCTTCACAGGCAACAGGGACCCTGTTTGCTCTTGCTGGCATCTGCCAGTCTCCACCGTATCTGACCTGGAGCTGCCACAGAGAACTCGAGCTCTTCATGAGAGTCCTGGCCCCATCATGCCCTTTGCCCTACGACAGCTAGAAGACTCCCAGGAAGCTCCTGGTTAGTCTCTCCTGAGTATCTAGAGTTCAGGAATCTCCAGGAGTCCCCAGAGACCCCAGCTCTCAGTTCCACTTCTCATCTCTGAGAGTCATCTCATCCTTTATCTCCCTTGACTCAGTTTCTCCTTCCAGGCCCAGACTTCTCAGGGCACAGCCCAGAACTGGCTGAGGCCCTGAGGACGGGGAGGATCCCTCATGTCCAGGCAGATGAAGATGCACTTACCCAGCAGTTTGAGCAGCTAGATCCCAGCAGGAAGTGGCGAGAGGGAGTCACAAAGTCTAGTTTTACATATCTGCTACTAGACCCCAGGTATGCAGGGCAGGAAAGACCCAGAAATGTGAGCTAGTAAATTTGGGAGTTGATTCTTATTTCGTGTGTGTTCTTAGGAAAAGGGCTGGCCATCTGTGATCATCAGCTTTATAAAAGGTAGTTGGACATAATTCAAGCTGCTAAGTGGGTGGCTAGGGAGCAGCCACCCACTTCTGGCCCCATAAAGTGGGTGTCACTGGACATGGGTTCAAGTTGTTTTGTGACTTTGGGACTGTCTCTGGGACCACTCTTGTCACTTATCCCTTTTTGACTTTTTTTTAGACAGAGTCTCATTTTGTCTCCCTCGGTAGAGTGCCATGGTGTCATAGCTCATAGCAACCTCAAATTCCTGGGCTCAAGCTATTCTCTTGTCTCAAGCCTCCCAAGTAGCTTGGACTACAGGCACCCACTACAATACCTGGCTATTTTTTTTTTAATTGAGACAGTCTCACTTTGTCACCCTCCATAGAGTGCCATGGCATCACAGCTCACAGCAACCACAAACTCTTGGGCTTAAGCAATTCTCTTGCCTCAGCCTTCCAAGTAGCTGGGACTATAGGTGCCTACCACAATGCCCTGCTATTTTTTGGTTGCAGTTGTCGTTTAGCAGGCCCAGGCTAGGCTCTAACCTGCCAGTTTTGGGTGGCTGGTGCCCTACTTCCTGAGCTATGGGTGCTGAACCTGGCTTTTTTTTTTTTTTTTTAGAGATGGGATCTTGCTCTGGCTCAAGCTGGTCTTGAGCCTGTGAGCTCAGGGAATCCACCTGCCTTGGCTTCCCAGAATGCTAGGATTACAGGTGCGAGCCACCATGCACGGCCACTTACCCTTTTTGAATCACCCCCTTCAACCAGGGAGACTCAGGACCTGCCTGCCCGAGCCTTCTCACTGACCCCCGTCAAGTGTCTTCAGACTTTTGTCCGTGCCATCTTCTATGTGGGCAAAGGGACACGGGCCCGGCCATATGTCCATCTCCGGGAGGCCCTTGGCCATCATGGACAGTCAGGAAAACAGGTATCAGGACAAGGGTCAGAGACGTGCAGGGGCATTCAGGCCATAGACATGTACAGGAAGAGGATTATGGGGCCAACTGCTGACTCTGCCCTGGGTCTCCCAGGTCTGCCCCAAGGTGCGCCGGATCTTGGACATCTGGGCCAGTGGTTGTGGTGTCATCTCCCTGCATTGCTTTCAGCATGTGGTTGCTGTGGAAGCTTATACACGGGAAGCCTGTCTTGTGGATGCCCTAGGTAGGTGCCTGGCATGTGGGATGAGGGAGGTCACATGAGAAGCATTTAATCTACCATTTCCTGTACCCCTTCCCTCTCAGGATTGTTCATATATTCAGTGAGCAGTTATTGAGCACCAACTCCCTATCTGCATGTGCATATATTTTGCTCCATTAGTTTATCCCTGGGCAATACACAGTGGGTTCACTGTTGGATACTTCTGCTGATACTTCTGCTTGGAGGTATCCCCAAGGCTGTCCATTTGATACCACCTCCAATCTCTCTAGGAATTCAGATGCTGACCAACCAGAAACAAGGGCACTACTATGGAGTAGTGGCAAGCTGGCCACCCACTCGGCGTCGGCGCTTGGGGGTGCATCTGTTGCACCGTGCCCTCCTTGTCTTCTTGGCTGAAGGCGAGCGAGAGCTACGTCCTCAAGACATCCAGGCCCATGGCTGAGTTCTGGGGAATCAGTCATCCAGCCTAGGTAGAGATCAGGGTGTTTGAATGTCCCGGTTTCCCATCTCTGGTTTCAGAAGGCACAGGCATGTGTGTATATGTGTGTGTGTGTGTGTGAAACACCAGGGCAGATCTCCCCTTAGCTTGAAAGAGGACTTTATTACAGATGGTACTACTAGAGAGGTAGAGAGCACCCCATCCTAAGAGTGAGCCAAGTGGGGAACCAGAACGTGCTTTGAAATACTCCAGGGCTGGCTCGGCGCCTGTGGCTCAAGTGGCTAAGGCGCCAGCCACATACACCTAAGGTGGTGGGTTTGAATCCAGCCCGGTCCCGCCAAACAACAATGAAGGCTGCAACCAAAAAAAATAGTCAGGCGTTGTGGCAGGCACCTGTGGTCCCAGCTACTTGGGAGGCTGAGGCAGGAGACTTGCTTGAGCCCAGGAGTTGGAGGTTACTGTGAGCTGTGATTGTACAGCACTTTACCCAGGGGGACAGCTTGAGGCTCTGTCTCAAAAAAAAAAAAAAAAAAATTCAAAAAAAAATACTCCAATGCTTTGGAGATTTTGTCCTATCTTTGTGGACACAGGCACCCACATTACATGTTGGACACTTAGGGTATCTGTCTAGCTCAAGAGCTACTTGCCAACCATAGGATCTCCATCCACAGTTTATCTTAGTGAGCCTCAGTGTCCTCAGCTGTACAATGGGGGCAGGGAGAGATCCTATCTCAGGGAGTCATTGTAGGAATTAAATGAGGTCATGTGGATAAAGTGTGTGGCTCAGAGACTACTACTGAGGCCCAGGTGGAAAATCTCCAGAGGGAAGGGGAGATGGGCAGGGATCTCCAGTAACCACAGTGTGGTGATGTATAGGCAGGGCCAGGGAGGTTAAGGGAGTTAATGTAAGAGACCAGCTCTTTCTGGAATTGCTGTGCAACCGTAGCCTCCTGGTGTTGCTTCTCTGAATCTGTTTCTTCCATTATAAAATGGGATTAACAGGCCAGGCATAGCTCATGCTCGTTATCCTAGCACTTCCAGAGGCTGAGGTAGGAGGATGTTTGAGGCCAAGAGTTGTAGGTCAGCCTGGGCAACATAGTAAGGGCCTGTCTCTTAAAAAATTAATAACCACAGTTCCAGGTGATGCTGTGTGACTTCAGACTATTCATATCATATGTTCAAAGAACTTCAGTAAAGGACAAGCCACCATTCTGGTGAGATGTGGCTGCTGTGATTTATGGGCTAGTTTTGTGAGGGTGATAGTAGTGGTGGTGATGGGTGTCTTCTTTTTTCATTTTGACACAGATTTTCTCATCATCATCCCTAATAGAGTGCCGTGGTGTCACAGTTCACAGCAACCTCAAACTCCTGGGCTCAAGTGATCCTCTTGCCTCAGTCTCCCAAGTAGTTGGGACTATAGGCTTCCACCACAATGTCTGGCTATTTTTAGAGGCAGGGTCTTAGTCTTGTTCAGGCTGGTCTTGAACTCCTGAGCTCAGGTGATCCACCTACCTCAGCCTCCCAGAGTGCTGGGATTACAGGGGTGAGCCACTGCACCTGATTGCTTCTTCAAAGGGCCCAGTGAGTTTAAACAATTGCAAACCAGTTGGGAAGGGAGCCATCAGAGACATGCCAAAACAAACTGTCTTTGACTGCCCCCTACTTGTATGGGATTTTTTTTTAGGTGAAATAACAGTATTGTGATTATGGTAAACAAATTTTTAAGAGTCCTTATGGCTTAAAGCAGTTTATCCCCCGGATTGTTCTCTGGGGAGGGGCTGTCCTGGGCCCTACAGGGTACTGAGCTGTGTCCCTAACCCTACTCACCCCATTCAAGGGGTACTTTCCTGGTGTGACAATCACAGATGTCCCTGGACATCACCCCACGTCCCCTAGTTGGGGAGGTGGGGCGCATAACTGCCCTGTTTTTTTGTTTTTATTCTTTTTTATTTTTTTGAGACAGAGTCTCACTTTGTCCCCCTTGGTAGAGTGCCAGAGTGCTGTGGCGTCATAGCTTACCTCAACATCAAACTCTTGGGCTTAAGTGATTTCTCTTGCCTCAGCCTTCTAAGCTTCTGGGACTTACAAGGCTCCTGCCACAACTCCTGGCTATTTTTTTGTTGCAGTTTAGCTGGCCTGGGCTGGGTTCAAACCTGCCAGCCTCAGTGTATGTGGCCTGTGCCATAACCACTGTACTACCAGCACTGAGCCAGGTATGGGACTTTTTAAGGATTTAGAGAAATCCACTACTTCGTTGGCTTCATTATCTGCCTGTCTTTATGGCTCAGCCAACCAAGTCCCACAGAGGGTGGGCTGTGACTTGGGCAGAGACTCCACATGCCTGGGGTTCCTCTGGGGCCCTCCTGGGGAAAAGGCTAGAGTTGTAATTAGAGGCACAGCCTTTGGAATGGGTTTGGGCTCTACCACTTGTAAGAGAGCCAATAAAAAAATCTCTCTATGCTTCTGTTTCTTCTTTTTATTTTTATTTCTTTAAGAGACAGAGTCTCATTTTTTTTTTTTTT